AATTGGAGAACTGCTGAAATAAAATTGGAGAACTGCTGAAATAAAATCGGAGAACTTCTGAAATAAAATCGGGTAACTTCTAAAATAAAATCGGGTAACTTCTAAAATAAAATTGGAGAACTTCTGAAATAAAATTGGAGAACTTCTGAAATAAAGTTGGATAACTTCTAAAATAAAATTGGACAACTTCTAAAATAAAATTGGACAACTTCTAAAATAAAATTGGAGAACTTCTAAAATAAAATTGCTTAAGTTCCCCTGGCTTTGGTTTTTGGGAGATACTTGAGTTTTAGGTAGTGGGGGGAATTGGAACAAGATGATCTTTAAGGTCCCTTCCAACCAAACCATTCTGTGGATCTGTGGATCTGTGTGAACATCATCCCCTGATGAGCCTGATCCTTGGGAATGTTGCCTGCAGGAGCTGAGGAAAAAACAACTCCAATTTAATTGAGGCTGAGATAAGAAAAGGGTTTAATTTGTGCCCAGGCTTAAGATCAGGAGACGCGCCCCGGCCGTGTACAGTTTATAATTTTGTAATATAAATTGGATATAAATGGTAATAATTTACAATTTATAATATTGTCTGTCCAATCCCAAGTGTTTCCACCCTGTAGCTTTTGCCCTGGGCCACTCCAGGAATTGGGACTGGGGGGCTTTTCTTCATCATCTTCATCATCTTCAGAGCACAAGTTCTTGTCTCTCACCCCGTTCTTGACTGGACTTTTGGGGTTCAGGCCAAGGCACAAAGTGTCCTTAAACAAAAGAACCAACTCTTAAAGAGAGACTAAACATTTTCTGCTGGAATATTGATATGGGAGCATGGAATATCCCAATCAGGATGTTGATATGGGAGCATGGAATGGGATATGTAGGGATTGAGGAATGTGTAAGAGGGTAGAGGAATAAGGGCTGCTGCTTCTAAAATCTACTTATACAACTGCTTATAAAGCTTATAAAAATTAGAAAAACCCAAAAACTGAAAGAATCTTAAGGCATCAGGGAAACAAAAACAATCCCACCAGGATTGGGGTTTTTTTTCTCTCTCCCCAAAAGGTTTCCAGCTTCAGCCACTCTCCCAACGGATCCCCCTATTCCACGGGAGCTGTGGACAGCGGCGGGATAAGGTCCCACTACAGGTTCTCCCCCATCCTCTACAACAACAACACCCACAAGGATGACTACATCACTGATGTCAAATCCCTGGACACCTTCCTGAGGAACGAGGAGGAGAAACAGCACAGAGTGCAGCTGGGTAAATATCCGGGATTTTGTGGGAATGTCTGGAAACGGGAAAGTGTCGGTTTTATTCGAGAGCGGGTGAGGAAAATTCCAGTAAAGAGCTTTTATGGGAATCCCTGGGAGCTTAATCTGCTGAGGAATGGGGGAACAATAGGATTTCTACACATCTCTGTGGCTTGGGAGCTTCAGCTTTCCTCCAGATTATTCCTTTGGATTCCTTTGGGTTGGATCTGAGCTTGGAATGTGAGTTGATCCGTGATCTCTGTAGCAGTTGTTGGCGGTGATAAGATGATCACCTTGATGAGAGGGTTGTTTTGTGGGGGTGGTTTCAAACAGAGGAGGTGAATCCAGGCAGTTTTTATCCTGGATGGGGATAATCAGGATAAGGATAAAGGGAATGAACAACCCCCAGGCAGTTTTTGTCCTGGATAGGGACAATCCAGTCAAGGATAAAGGGGATGAACAAGCCCCAGGCAGTTTTTTTCCTGGATAGGGACAATCCAGATAAGGATAAAAGGGTATAAACTATCTCCAGGCAGTTTTTGTCCTGGATAGGAACAATCCAGACAAGGATCAAGGGGATGAACTCCCTCCAGGCAGTTTTTACCCTGGATAGGGACAATCTGGACAAGGATAAAGGGAATGAAATTCCTCCAGGCAGTTTTTGTCCTGGATATGGACAATCAAGATAAAAATAAAAGGGGATGAAGTACCTCCAGGCAGTTTTTACTCTGGATAGGGATAATCAAGATAAGGATGAAGGATATGAACAACCCCCAGGCAGTTTTTGTCCTGGATAGGGACAATCAAGACAAAAATAAAAGGGAATGAACTCCCTCCAGGCTGTTTTTCCCCTGGATAGGGACAATCCAGACAAGGATAAAGGGAATGAACAACCCCCAGGCAGTTTTTGTCCTGGATGGGAACAACCAAGACAAGGATAAAGGGGATGAACAACCCCCAGGCAGTTTTTGTCCTGGATAGGGACAATCCAGACAAGGATAAAGGGGATGAACAACTCTCCAGGTAGTTTTACCCTGGATAGGGACAATCCAGACAAGGATAAAGGGCATGAACTCCCTCCAGGCAGTTTTTACCCTGGATAGGAACAATCCAGACAAGGATAAAGGGGATGAACAATCCCCAGGCAGTTTTTGTCCTGGATAGGGATAATCCAGACGAGGATCAAGGGGATGAACTCCCTCCAGGCCGTTTTTGTACTGGATAGGGACAATCCACATTAGGATAAAAGGGTATAAACTATCTCCAGGCAGTTTTTGTCCTGGATAGGAACAACCAAGACAAGGATAAAGGGGATAAACAACCTCCAGGCAGTTTTTGTCCTGGATAGGGACAATCCAGATAAGGATAAAAGGATATAAACTATCTCCAGGCAGTTTTTGCTCTGGATATGGACAATCCAGACAAGGTTAAAGGGGATGAAGTACCTCCAGGCAGTTTTTGTCCTGGATAGGGATAATCCAGACAAGGATAAAGGGAATGAACTCCCTCCAGGCAGTTTTTGTCTTTGATATGGACAATCCAGATAAGGATAAAAGGGTATAAACTATCTCCAGGCAGTTTTGTCCTGGATCGGGACAATCCAGATAAGGATAAAAGGGTATAAACTCTCTCCAGGCAGTTTTTGTCCTGGATGAGAACAACAAAGACAAGGATAAAGGGGATGAAGAACCCCCCAGGTAGTTTTTGTCCTGGATAGGGACAACCAAGACAAGGATAAAGGGATGAACAACCCCCAGGCAGTTTTTGTCTTTGATAGGGACAATCCACATTAGGATAAAAGGGTATAAACTATCTCCAGGCAGTTTTTGTCCTGGATAGGAACAACCAAGACAAGGATAAAGGGGATAAACAACCTCCAGGCAGTTTTTGTCCTGGATAGGGACAATCCAGATAAGGATAAAAGGATATAAACTATCTCCAGGCAGTTTTTGCTCTGGATATGGACAATCCAGACAAGGTTAAAGGGGATGAAGTACCTCCAGGCAGTTTTTGTCCTGGATAGGGATAATCCAGACAAGGATAAAGGGAATGAACTCCCTCCAGGCAGTTTTTGTCTTTGATATGGACAATCCAGATAAGGATAAAAGGGTATAAACTATCTCCAGGCAGTTTTGTCCTGGATCGGGACAATCCAGATAAGGATAAAAGGGTATAAACTCTCTCCAGGCAGTTTTTGTCCTGGATGAGAACAACAAAGACAAGGATAAAGGGGATGAAGAACCCCCCAGGTAGTTTTTGTCCTGGATAGGGACAACCAAGACAAGGATAAAGGGATGAACAACCCCCAGGCAGTTTTTGTCTTTGATAGGGACAATCCACATTAGGATAAAAGGGTATAAACTATCTCCAGGCAGTTTTTGTCCTGGATAGGAACAACCAAGACAAGGATAAAGGGGATAAACAACCTCCAGGCAGTTTTTGTCCTGGATATGGACAATCCAGATAAGGATAAAGGGAATGAACTCGCTCCAGGCAGTTTTTGTCCTGGATAGGAACAACCAAGACAGGGATAAAGGGGATGAACAACCCCCAGGAAGTTTTTGTCCTGGATATGGACAATCCAGATAAGGATAAAGGGAATGAACTCCCTCCAGACAGTTTTTGTCCAGGATAGGAACAATCTGGACAAGGATAAAGGGGATGAACAACCCCCAGGCAGTTTTTACCCTGGATAGGAACAATCCAGATAAAAATAAAAGGGAATGAACTCCCTCTAGGCAGTTTTTGTCCTGGATAGGGACAATCCAGATAAGGATAAAAGGGTATAAACTATCTCCAGGCAGTTTTTACCCTGCATAGGAACAATCCAGACAAGGTTAAAGGGAATGAGCTCCCTCCAGGCAATTTTTACCCTGGATAGGGCCAATCCAGATAAGGATAAATGGGTATAAACTATCTCCAGGCAGTTTTTATCCTGGATAGGACCAACCAACACAAGGATAAAGGGGATGAACAACCCCCCAGGCAGTTTTTGTCCTGGACAGGGATGATCCAGATAAGGATAAAAGGGTTTGAACAACCACCAGGCAGTTTTTGTCTTTGATAGGGACAATCCAGATAAGGATAAAAGGGTATCAACTATCTCCAGGCAGTTTTTGTCCTGGATATGGACAATCCAGACAAGGATAAAGGGAATGAACTCCCTCCAGTCAGTTTTTGTCCTGGATAGGGACAATCCAGACAAAGATAAAGGGAATTAACTCCTTCCAGGCAGTTTTTATCCTGGATAGGGATAATCAAGATAAGGTTCAAGGGGGATGAACGATCCCCAGGCAGTTTTGGTCTTTTATAGGGACAATCCAGACAAGGATAAAGGGAATGAACTCCCTCCAGGCCGTTTTTGTCCTGGATAGGGACAATCCACATTAGGATAAAAGGGTATAAACTCTCTCCAGGTAGTTTTTGTCCTGGATAGGGACAATCCAGATAAGAATAAAAGGGTATAAACTATCTCCAGGCAGTTTTTGTCCTCGATAGGGATAATCAAGACAAGGTTAAAGGGAATGAACTCCCTCCAGGCAGTTTTTGTCCTGGATAGGAACAATCAAGATAAAAGGGAATTAAGTACCTCCAGGCAGTTTTTGTCCTGGATAGGAACAACCAAGACAAGGATAAAGGGGATGAACGACTCCCCAGGTAGTTTTACCCTGGATAGGGACAATCCAGATAAAAATCAAAGGGAATGAACTCCCTCCAGGCAGTTTTTGTCCTGCATAGGGACAATCCAGATAAAAATCAAAGGGAATGAACTCCCTCCAGGCAGTTTTTGTCCTGGATATGGACAATCCAGATAAGGATAAAAGGGTATAAACTCTCTCCAGGCAGTTTTTGTCCTGGATGAGAACAACAAAGACAAGGATAAAGGGGATGAAGAACCCCCCAGGTAGTTTTTGTCCTGGATAGGGACAACCAAGACAAGGATAAAGGGATGAACAACCCCCAGGCACTTTTTGTCTTTGATAGGGACAATCCAGATAAGGATCAAGGGTATGAACAACCCCCAGGCAGTTTTTGTCCTGGATAGGGACAATCCAGACAAAGATAAAGGGAATTAACTCCTTCCAGGCAGTTTTTATCCTGGATAGGGATAATCAAGGTAAGGATCAAGGGTATGAACAACCCCTAGGCAGTTTTTGTCCTGGATAGGGACAATCCAGACAAGGATAAAGGGAATGAACTCCCTCCAGGCAGTTTTTGTCCTGCATAGGGACAATCCAGATAAAAATAAAAGGGAATGAACTCCCTCCAGGCTGTTTTTCCCTGGATAAGGCCAATCCATACAAGGCTGAATCCAGAGTTTCTGCAGAGTGAATCCAGTGGATCCCTTCACTCTGATTTGTCCCTGTGCTGTCGCTTCCAGGATTAATTGGCAATAATTGTGACTTTACTGATTGCCTCATTCCAGGGAGTTCCGACTCCAGCTCCCCTTCCAGCAGCCCAACCTTCTGGAATTACAGCCGCTCCATGGCCGACCACGCCCAGATCCTGAGGAAATTCCAGTACCAGCTGGCCTGCAGGTCCCAGGCTCCCTCAGCACACAAGGATGAGGCGGATCTGAGCTCCAAACAGGCAGCAGAGGAGGTAAATCCGGCAGGAAAAGCGCTCCAAAGGGAGGAACGGGCCTTGGAAAAGCAAAATTTTGTGCCAGGGTTTGGGTTGGAGCTGTGGCAGGAGAAAATCCTCCTGTGTTTAACCAGTTTCCTTCCTCTGGAAGTGGCAGGAATTGTCACAGTGCCTAAAAATGTGGATATTCCAGGAGTTTTTCCTGTGTTCTTTCCACAGGTCTGGGCGCGGGTGACGATGAACAGGCAGCTCTTGGATCACATGGATTCCTGGACAGCCAAGTTCAGGAATGTAAGTCCCACCTCCCAGGGCTTTAAAGACAAGGAGAGTAGGGAATTCTCACCTTGGCATGAGCTCTCAAATCCCAAATCCCATGTTGGTCATCTCCCTGAATTCCTGGAATGAACAGGACAGGGAATGGAGCCGTCAAAGCAGACCCAAAATTCCACCAAAATGGCCCCAAAAATGATCTTTATGGTTGGAGGGCCGTGATTCCCAATCCCTCTTTTTGTCCAGAAAAGCTTTACTGGCAGAGAATTGTTTTCCCAACTCCTTCCCATTGGATTTCCTGCCCTTCCAGGGGGTGTTAA